GGGAGTCGACACACCACTTTCCGATGCCGGACGCGATGGCCAGGAAGCATCCGTGGCTGTTGGTATTTCAGAAGGAACGCAGTAATTGTCGCTCATATGCTGGTCAAGCTTGGAAACAGTTTCTCGAGCTACTGATCACCGTCCTGCGGGAAGGGTGGTGCGACTTGGAGATCCTGCTGGATCCCCATTTCCTGCACTTACCCAAGCGCGTGGAGTCCGTCACGTGGTACCCCGGGATGGCCTCTCACCAGGCCAACTTGGCAGATCCCAACCTGAATCGTCGAGAGCCGGCGGATCTCCTCGAGGCACTGGTTGAGTGCAACCGCCAAGATCCATGGCGCAATCACTATCGCGACACTCCCCAGTATCATCCGTCGCGCAACATCGCGCGCCTCCCTACCAAGTTCTTCAATATTCGTGCTGTCGGCGATCAGTAAGAGTTGGATCCAGAGCGTCTACTTTCAAGCACGTCCAAGTTCAGATATCTCTACAGCTGAGCAAGGTTTATACGGACACTGGATCTGCCCCTGCATGCCGAGATAAGTGGTAATACACTCAACTTGTCGTCGTTAATCTCCATCTTGCCAGTTCTGCTTCCCTCCCAATCCACCTTTCCGAAGCCCCTCGGTCGCCTCGTGTTGAGGCGGCCACGTCCTTCTCTCGTGGTCTTGATCCCCATGCGCACTTCGATCCAGATCCAGACTCTCGCTGGAATCCAGATCCAAACTCACACCCCGATCAAGATCCAAACTCTTCTTACCTTGTTCAGACGTTACGCTTGATCAGCCTGATTCTCACATGTACATATGCAGAGTTCCCAATCCACCCATCTGCAACCACCTTGCAGATTCGTCGTCAAAATCCTCCACAGAGCGACCAACTCGCTCTTGGGGATCTCAGTCTCAACCTCCTCGTGAAACTACATTACCCCAAACCGGTTCCGGTTGGAGCGCCCCCGCAAAAACTCATGCAGTATGGCTCCACAGTTCAGATCCGCCTTGTCCACCCAGGATGGATCTTCATATCCACGCCAGTGTACCAGGAATTCACGGTGGATCCGGCCGTAACGAGTACGCTTTCCAGTCCAGATGTCAGTAATTTTCTCCACCTCGTACTCGTTTTCATCCAGATCCTGGATCCAACTGTCCTCTGGCAGCAGTGCTTCATCAAAATCAAATCGATCTGTAGTGCCTTCAGTCAACTGGATCTGGGGTCGATCCAGAAAACTCCTCGCAAGCTTCAATTTGGACACATGCATCACATGGAACAGCCGATACTCTGTGCCTGGAGTCTCGATCCGCACAGCGTGTTCTCCGATCTTCTCCGCTATACGGAATGGTCCGTGCCACATATGGGCCAATTTGCGAGCATACCCTTCCTTCACCCGGTCCAGATACAGCCAGACCCTGGATCCTACCTCAATCTGGTGCGGATGGATCTCTTCGTTGTGCCGGTCTGCCCGATCTGAGATCGCCCCCTGCAGTCGCGTGTAGACTTCTGCCCGTGCAACAATGTATTGATTTAGTCAAGAATAAATGACACACTGCTTTTACTAATGAGCGTGGAGTGCAACCAGCACTTCTGCATCGTAGAAGCTGACACATTATCCCACGCAGACTCGCACCACTTCATGGCAGTTAGTAAGTCGACTGTATGTCTAGGGATGCCCAACTTCTTGGCTAGCACCGTAGCATAGAAGACGATCATTGCACCGCTGAGGCAAATGCCCTCCGCCTCTGCAAGCATGATGAACTCGACGATGTTTTGATCGATCTGTAGCTGGAATGGAGACGGCTTGTTCTTGAGCTGAGCACTTTCGTGAGGCTGGCGCAACAGCGCGATACGCCCCG